GGCGGCCTGTGAGCGGTGCTCGGAGACGCGTGCGCTCCTGCTGGACTCGGCGCGGGTTTCTTGGTCGGGTTTGGGGTCGTCCCGGGGCGCACTCTGGAAACCTCTCGTTGGTTTCCAGAGTACTGTTTGGGGTCTCTGGTCTGGGCTCTTGGGTGGGTCGGGCCGTCCCCGCGGGGGTGGGGCGCGTGGCTTCCGTGACCCGTGCGGGTCTCGGAAGGCGCTCGCTCCTGTCGGCGCCCTGTCTTAGGTCCTCGTCGCCGCGCGGTCCTGGCAGGCGCCGTCGGGCTACTCGTCCGAAGCGACGAGTGCCGTGGCGACGTGGCTTGCGAGCTGGGCGCGAGAGGCGCGCGCGCCTCCCCTGGGCGACGCCGCGCGCCAGCGGCTGGGCCTCGACCTTGCCGCCGCCGCGCCGAGGGCCGCGCGAGAGAGAGAGAGAGAGAGAGAGAGAGAGAGAGAGAGAGAGAAATAAAGAAAGAAAGAGAGAGAGAGAGAGAGAGAGAGAGAGAGAGAGAGAGAGAAATACATCTATATATATATATATATACAGAGAGAGAGAGAGAGAGAGAGAGAAATAACGAAATAAAGAAATAATTGTAATACATAAAGAAATAAAATGATGCATAGAGGGAGAGGGAGAGAGGTATATGCTCATGGGCCCTATTGATTCCGATTGTGCCCGATCGATTGTTTCACCCAACATATGTTTATGATTCCCCTCGGTTGCTATTGCGTCCGATTGGTCCCTAGTGAGTCCTAGCTCTCCCGCTCGATTCCGATCGGTTCCTGGCGATGCCGAAATGGACCCTCTTGTTTCCTGCTGCTTCCGAGCGACCCGGATTGATTGCGATCGATTTCTTATCCCGAGTGATTCCCGCGCCGATTCATTCCCGCTGAGTCCTGCGCGGCTGCCGCCACGGCCCCGCGCGCCGCGTGCAAAGAAAAAGCGATGGAACAAGCGCTGCTCGTTTTCGCGGCGCGACGCTCACTGGGCCCGGAGCGCCGCAAATATTGGCAGCCCTTCGGCGCTGATGGGCAGCGCGACCACGCCCTCTGCGCGCGCAGCAACTGTGAGCCTTTGCGGGATTTCCCTGCCCCGCATGCTGCCCAGCATCAGGGCGCAGATGCCGCTATGTCGACGGTCGCGGAGGTGGGCAAGCAGCTGGCGTCTCAGCACCAGATATCCAACCCTGCATGGAGCTGTGCATGTACTGGCGAGCATCGCGCAAGGCCCAGACTGGAACCTAACAGAAACCACATTCGCTGCCCGAGCTACTTGACCGCGGACAAAATCACGCGGTTCGGAAAGGTATTTTTGGGCCCCATTTGGTGGTTTGCGCAGTTTTCGCTTTCAGACGCCTCGTTCGAACTGCCATGACGCGCTTGGGCTGCTGGAAGAAGACGCCGACCCCGCGGGGTCCGCCCCGGCGGCCTCTGCGCGACGAAGCTCTTCCACGAGGAGGCCATGGGCGCGTTCTGTCCGCCTTCCACGCTGATCAGTGAACCAGCCCCTCGCACTCAGGCGCTGGGCCCGCCCATCGAGCGACGCGCCGCCTCGAAGCAGAGCAGATGCGCAAATATGGAGTCTTGCGTTCGCGGGGCCCGCGCGCGGCCGAGTCCAAGCGCTCGCGCGCGCGTCCGTTTCCTGCTCTCTACCTCGGTACCTTGGTTTATCCTTTCGCTGGAGTAGCTCCCCTCCTGGCCATGGGCCCGAAGCAGAGGGGCGGTCTTTGGGCGCGCTGGAGCAGGAGCGCCTGCGGGCGTTGCTGCCTCCCCGCCCCCAGTGGCCGCAGCGGGGGGCGCGGGAGATATCGCCCTCGGCAGGAGACGGCACAGCGCAAGCGCGTGGCCCAGAGCGCCCCGCGCAGCACTGCGCGCCTTCGGCGCCACTGCAGATGCCGGCGTTTAAGCGCGAGCGCGCGCGCAGCGACCCCCGGGAAATGGGGCTGCCCTGCCATTTCGCCGTCGCGCGCCCAGTCAGGAGTGGCATTCTGCGCGCGGCCGCAGAACAGGCGCGTGATGCTTCGGAACGAGCCCCCCTGCTGGTGCGCGGCTTCAATTGCCCGACGCCGCCAGGCAGCGAAAAGTCCGCCTTCGCGATCCGATTCGTGGATCGGAACAAGCTGGTCTCTGACTCTGCGGCCGCGCGACCTCCGAGAAGTCTCCGAGGGCGCCGATGCGTTGCCAATGGTTCCGATGCTTGAGGCCTGCTCTCTCGCGGCTGCGGGCGGCGAAAATAATCGGCTTCGCGCAGGGGGAGCGGCCGCGCCATCAGTGCTCCGCCCAAGCATGCCGAGCGTTTCGATTTAAACAGGAAGCGGCTCCCGGCAATTTGGCCCAGGCGCGCATTGCCAGCGACGAAGGCTTGCGCGGGTCGACGCGCGCGAAGCTCTCCCAGAACGTCTCTTCGGACAGAGGCTGCGGTGAACAGCTGGCGCCGGGGAATGAGCGCCCGCTTGGGGGCCTCGCGCGCGGGGGGGGCCTCTCTCGGCTGCAGCCGCGAACTGCCCCCGCCTTCGAGCGCGCGCGGCTTCATGTCCTCGCTGGAATGCGCGCGTCGCCCGGCAGGTCTTGGACGCGACGATCAGCGCGATGGCTGTCGCCCGATCCCGGCGCCCGCCAGTCTCCTGCGCGGGGCCGGCGGGGCGCGGCGCATTTCGAGGCAGCGTCGCGATCGCCCTGGCACTGACGCCCCCTTGCTTCCCGTTGACCAGGCCGCCCGATTTCGCGCCGCAGTCGCCGCGCTCCAGGTGGGCGAGCGAGGGTGGCCGGATGCGGTGCGTGGCTCTGCTGCTGAGGCCCCCCAGAGGATCGTCGGTCGCGCCCTGCGCATCGCGCGTTCGATCCTCTTCCAGGTGGTCTTCGAGGTAGGCAGGGATCTCCACAGTGGCCGCGATCGGGGGCACGCCTGGCCTGCGCTCCAAGTTCTTGGTTGTTTTAGGCCTGGCCTGTTTTAGGCCCTCCAGTTGTGCCGCGCGCTCGGAGGTTCTGCGAGACGGCTAGTTTGTCGCCGCTTCCCTTTTTCCCTGAGACCTCTGGGGCGGGGAGTGGGTCGGGGGTGGGGGCGGGGCGGGCGGTGCAAGGGGCACTGTCGTCCTCCCGGGTTCCAGCCTGAACCGGCCTGGCGTGAGACCCATGCAGGTTTCTCTGACGCCAGCGACTCGGGCGGCGACGACCCTGCCCGCGACGCGAGGCAGTGGGCCGAGTGGCGTCTCCATCGCTGGCCACGCCTTTTTCAGACCACTGGCCAGCGCGCTCGCGGCTGAGCTTTGTCAGGTCAAAAAAAGCACATCTGGCCCGCGCCCCGAGCCGGACTTCGGCGGGGCGAGAACATTCTGCGCTTGCGAGCGGAAAAGGCCCCGCGCAGTGCCGGGGGCCTCTGGCGCGAGGGGGAGTTGGACCTTTCGCGAGGAGGGATACTTGAGATCCCAATCGAAGACCGAGCCGAGACGCCACCAATCAGGAGGCAGCTGGAGAGGCAGAAGGAAGTCTAGCATAATGCAGGCTGCCGCGAATTCTCCCGAGTGCGACTCCCCGCAGCTCCCGGCGCGCGCGAAGCAGCGGCCGCGGCGCCCCCCCCCCCCCCCCTAACCTGGGAGGGGGTCCACGCGCGTCGCGGCGACCGGCCGTCCTGGGGCCCGGCGTCAAGGTTGCGGGGTCAGGCGCTCGTCGCCGCGCAGCCGTCTGCCGCGTGCAACGCCGAAGCAATTCCTGGACGGCGCGCGGGCTCGCCTGCGCCTCTGGGGGCGGGGCGGGCAGGCCTCCATGGGGAAGTTCGCCGTTCCAGCATCGCGGCGCCAAGTTGATCTGGCCCATTTTCGCATTCGCTTGCGGCGCCAGCAAGGTCGCGCACCCTTTGGAGCAGCTGCAGCGGCGTAGTCCTGCGGCGAAGCACGGTCGAGCACCACCGGACGCGGGGGGGGGGGGGGGGCGGTCGGGGGGGGGGGGGGGGGGGGGGGGGGGGGCGCAATTCTGCTCTCTGCCGCCCTCGCCCGGGCAGTCCGGGAGCTCGGGGTGAAGTGCCGCGTCGATTGCGGGCAGCTGCGCCGGTCGCTCAAGATGCGATCACTCGAATCTCCGCGCGCGGAAGAGGGCTGCGCGACCGCCGGGCGACCTGGCGGTTGCGCGTTGGTCGCGCGCGCCTGGGCGCGGGGCCGAACGCTGAATCTGGCCCCGCTGCGCGCGGCGAGGCGGGCGTTTCAGGGCGCCGCTGGACCCCCGAAAGAAGGCGAGCCCACGGAGGGACAAGAGGGCATATCGCGCTTTCCGCTTGCTCAGGGCCGCCGGCGGAAATTCTCCGCGACGCGCAGCGCGAGTCTTGCCCGCGGGGCCGGCGGCGCCTTCTCGTCGACGCGGCGGCGAGCCCTTGGTAAATGAGCGCCATTCTGGGGCTGGTGTTCCGAGAGAAAAAGACGATTGGCTTTGGCGCGCTGCTGCGGCTTCGCGCCGCCAGGTCTAAGTTCGCAGACGCAGGGCCCCGAGCGGCCGTCGCCTGCCCCGCGCCACGTCGCGTAGCAATGGCGCGGCAACGGCGAAGAGCGACGCTGCGTCGCTGGCGATTTCGGAGATCGCAACGGCTCCGGCCACTGGCACCCCGCGCGCGATCTCCCCGCTGGAGCGCGCAGCGGCGCATCTGGGCCTCGCTGCCGCGGGGGGGCGGAGGCGCGAGTCACGAAGGCGAGCGTTCAACGCGTAATACGGGGATGCTGCAGCGTTTCCACCGAGGACGCCCGAGCCGGCGAAGGAGCAACTTCGAGCCCTTTGGGGCAGCGGTGGCGTCGAGGACCAGACGCCGGCAATATCATTGGCGAGCGCCCGGGCAGGGGCGATCTAGAGCCGTTCGAGCGGAGCCCAAGGAGTCCATCTGGACATGAAGGAACTGCGTGCTCGCCTGCAAAGCTATCCGCCTCGCGGTCCTCTTCTGGAAGGCCGCGAGGAGCGAAGGGGGCCTGGCGCAGAGCGCAG